TCTCTCTCTCTCTCTCTCTCTCTCTCTCTCTCTCTCTCTCTCTCTCTCTCTCTCTTTCTTTTTCTTTCTTTCAACAGTGCTAGAGGAAAATGGAAGGAGCTCCACCCCACTTGTTGAGTTTCCATCTTTCACTAGAATAGGGTTGAGCCAAGGACCACTTGTAGTAGACATTTGTTGAATAAAGACTGATTTAGCGTTGCCTGCAACCTCCCGTAGGGTACCTACACCGTGAAGGGGTGGATGGGTAAGCGAAGGTTGGCAGGAGGCCGCAGACGAGCCAACCCAAATACCTTTCAAATGCAAACTGCGCGTTGTGCAGAATTAGGCACCCTGTGTGCCGATTGATCGATCCAACTTCCTGTTCCGGGTTTTGTTCTTGGAAAGGCCCTCAAGCCAGAAGGTTATATTTTGCAGATGCATGAAGAGCTATGCATCCATCCGTAAATGGCAAGATACCGACATTCTCTCAAGTGTAGTGCCTGAGTAGTCTTTATTTGATCCTTAAGGCATAACTGACTGGGTTTTGCACACTGTAACAGAATAACGGGAAGGGATTTTGGAGGTCTTCTAGTCCAACCCCCCCCCCTGCTCAAAGCAGAAGATTTATACTGTAGGAAGCTAGCACCCACCCGTCTCCTAGAAAATTGAAATATCCTAGGGAATATTAAAAAGGAAGAATATTTCCCCTAAAAAGAGTAGAAATTCAGAAGCAGAAACTCACCTCCACCTTTGTTAATGGGTGGGCCATTAAGGCCTGGGCCAGAATACTTTACATAACAAAGATCTCCAGGTAAAGGTATAGCAATTGCCCAAGAGCCCTTTCAGCGCATCATTCTCCAGCAAGGCTCAACCAAGCCTGGAATTCAGGAAAACCTACGAAGTTAGCTAAGACCCTCCCGCCCCTGGGAGTCTGACAGCCAATGGGATACATTCCTTGCACAGGAGCAGGAAACACTAAGGCGGGGCCCAACACAGGGTATATAAGGGTCTCTCCGCATCTTGGCAGGCCCTTCTTTCTCTTTCCCTTCACCTTGGAACATGTGATCATCCTTCTTTGGAGCTCCAAGCTGTGTGGTCCTGCTGCCCACCATTAAACCATCTTTCCAAATAGCCTCCATGTTTCCAGGGTCTTCCTTCCCCACTTGGAACTGAACCCAGAAGGATATTTCTACCAACAATACTATTCTGTCCATTCTTGAAAGCCTCCACTGATGGTGCACCCACAACTTCTGGTGGCAAGCCGTTCCCCTGGTTAATTGTACTCAGGGTCAGGATATTCCTTAGTTTTAGCTTGGGTTGTCTCTTTGATTAGTTCCCGTCCATGCACCTTGCAACAATTGTGTTCAGGCATCCTATTACCTCCCGAAAGACGACACCTTATGTTTTGTGCAACGTTTAATCCAAGCCAGAGAATTTCAGGGGTCCTTGGAGGCTATTCTAGCCCAACTCTCTCTTAGCCTAGAGATGTCTAACTGAGCAGGTGTGGGATTCTACCTGGTCGGACCAGTTCTATAGAACCGGTCGGTTACGATTCTGTGCAGTTCGGAGAACCGGCAAATCGAGGCACTGGCTGGCCCCTCTCCTCCCCGCCCACCCACTCCTTACCTGGCATGCGAGCCATCCAACTTGCCTGCTAACTTGCTATTTCCCCCCCGCCCCCGCTCCAAAACCATCAGCTGTTCTGATGTGCCAGGAGATTTAGATTAGCTAGAAAGTAGGAAATTGTTGGATTTCTTGCTTTCTAGCTAATCTAAAAGCAGAGCCGAACCTTCCTTAGGACCGAAGCTTCTATTTTTCAACGCAGACTCAGGTAGCAGATGGCAGAAGGGTAGATCTCTGAGTGAACCCGTGATTCTGTGAGCAACTCAATCTGCCTGCCTGCTTTGCCTGATTTTGGGCAAAAGTTGCTCTTTTTTTTTTTGCAAATAAAAAATTCAATATTTACATAAATATTTATAATATTTACATACAAGCCATGCCCAGCCAGTCGCATGACCACCAAGCCACACCCACAGAAATTTGAATCCCAGCCCTGCAACTGAGGGTCCCCCCAAAGAGGTCTTCCTTCCAGCTTTGATATCCCTGAATACCTACTGAGCTACTTTCTGTAACCAACGGGGAGCTGCTCTTCAAATTCAGGCGTTGCCTCCAATTTTCTGTTTTCTGTCAGCCCGAGCCTGTTCGTTCTGTTGCAAGAGCTCACAGTGTCCTTTATTCCCAAGGCTCCATCTGTCCATGTGAAGCTGGGTGTCTTCTGCTTTCCCCCACCCCCCCACCCCCCCACCCCAATTCGATCCGATTTATATAAAGAGGCCTTCATTCTTTTTTCTCTCCCTGGAACCGGTTTGGCGGCACCGAAGGCTCCGGTCCAACTCCTCTTGACCTCCGGCTGGAAGGCTTTTAGGAAAACAGGAAGCCGTTGAGAAAAATAACAGTTCGGCATTCAAAAGCAACCAAGCGTTCCGTAAAACAGCTCTTGATCTTCTCTGAAAAAGCAGCCGACCCGGGGGTTGTGGGGAAGCGGGGGCTGGGGGCGTCTCTCCACTTTTTCAGCCCTGGAACAAGGCTCCCAAACAGATTTGCAGTTCAGAATCAGGCAGCGACACAGCAACAGGCTGCAGTGAAAATTCTCTGTCCTTAAAAATAAGGATCATCGTAACTTTTTAAAAGGGCAGTTTTAAAAACAGGGGTTTCCAGTTCATTTGCCCTTGAGGTTGACTGCTCCGTTCTGTTCTATCTTCTATTTTATTCTATTCTATTCTATATTCTATATTTTCTATTCTATGCTATTCTATCTATTCTATTTTCACTATTCTATATCCTATATTCTATACTATTCTATTCTGTATTCTGTTCTATTTTCATTCTATTTTATATTCTATTCTACATTTTCTATTCTATTGTATCTATTGTATTTTCTATTCTATTCCATATTCTATTCCTAATTCATAATCTATTCTATTCCTAATCCATATTCTATTCTATATTCTATTCTATTCTATATTCTATTCTATTCTGTTTTCATTCTATTCTATTCTATATTCCATTCTATTCCATTCAATTCTATCCCAATCCCAACACAACTCAACCCAACCTTCGCATCACATCGCATCGCATCCCATATATTCTATTCTGTTCTATTCTATTCTATTCTATTCTATTCTATTCTATTCTATTCTATTCTATTCTATTCTATTCTATTCTATTCTATTCTATTCCATTCCATTCCATTCCATTCCATTTCCTATCCTATTCTATTCTATTCTTCATTCCATTATTCTATTCTATTCTCCTTCCTTCTCCCCTTCTCTATTCTATTCTATTCTATTCTATTCTATTCTATTCTATTCTATTCAGATCAAAGTACTAAAAGTACTAATATGGCTTCCAAAGCTGACATCAATCACCTATCTATTCTATTCTATCCTGCTCTATCCTGTTCTACGTTCTCTTCTCTTCTCTTCCTTTCTATTCATTATTCTATTCTTTCCCGATGCAGCACCTGGAACAAGAGAAGCACGAGCTCAGGAGACGCTTCGAGAACAAGGAAGGGGAGTGGGAAGGTCGAGTCTCGGAGCTGGAGAGCGACGTCAAGCAACTGCAGGATGAGCTGGAGAAACAGCAGGTTCACCTGCGGGAAGCTGACCGGGAGAAGACGCGGGCGGTCCAGGAACTATCTGAACAGAACCAAAGACTCTTGGACCAGCTCAGCAAGGTGAGGGGGGGCACCTTGGCCATGGGGGGAGGGGAAGGGCGGTTGCTGTTGACCTTGGCCATGGGGGGAAGGGAAGGACGGTTGCTGTTGACATGGCAAGACTCCGTCGCAGTTGTTGGGGTCTCCGTTGTCCCTTGAACATCATGGCACAGTGGTGAGAGTGCAGTACTGCAGGCTACTTCTGCTGACTGCCGGCTGCCAGCAGTTTGGCAGTTCGATCCCGACCAGCTCAAGGTTGACTCAGCTTTCCACCCTTCCGAGGTCGGTAAAATGAGGAGACCCATATTGTTGGGGGAAAGAGGCCGACTCATAGAGAGGGTTGTAAAACTTCTGTGAAGTGGTATATAAGTCTAAGCGCTATTGCTATTGCTTTGCTTTTCCTTTTCCTTTTCTCCTTCCTTCCTTCCTTCCTTCCTTCCTTCCTTCCTTCCTTCCTTCCTTCCTTCCTTCCTTCCTTCCTTCCTTCCTTCTCTAACCCCTGGGAAGCACTATAATGGTCATAAATACGAGTCACTTGCCAAGCCTTTGACTTTTGATCTTGTCATTATGGGGATGCTGCATTGGTCACAAGTGTGATAAAAATGGTCAGAACTCACTTTTTTCAGTGCCGAAAACTTCAAACGGTCATTAAACGAACTGTGGTAAGAGGCGGACTACCTGCACTGCAGTCCCTTGGCACCCTTTCTTGATGGTTGCTTACCTGTCCTACGGTTTAAAAATATCTCCTTATCAGAAGTTGCTGGATTTTGTTGTGCTGGTTTAATTGCTTCCAGAGCTTCCAACCTGGGAGAAGCTGAGCTGAGTTGAGCCTTGGATCTCGAAATATTTTTTCACAACATTTGCTTATGACTTTTACGCTCCTGTAGCTTTTCCTAATCTCGAAAAAACAGCCGCTGCCAGTTTTAACCAGGCAAATGCGCTCCAATGGCCCCACAGGTCCAAAACTTACTTGGGAGTGTGTAAATTTGCACAAAAGCCAGCTGTGAAAGCTGATTTTTTCCTCCCTGAGTTCTAAACAGGAAGTTCTTGACTTACAGCCACAATTCAGCTGAATGTTTATGTCGCTAAGCAAGGCAGTTGTTAATAGAGATTATTAACGTTAGCGTGAATTGGATCAATATGAATGATACCTAGTCAGATTTGTTCATATATAATAGAGAAATGTTTAGATTGAACAAGAAAGATATAGATAGAGACAAAGATGAGGAATTAGACATTTTTTGTTTATGTATGTTTGAACAATATAATGAGGATTACTTAAATTTGATAAATGTAATAGAAATTACTAATATTTTTATTGTGAATTGGATTAATATGAAAAAAATGGATCAGAATTGAAGCATTAAAGAGAAGAGATGATGGATAGAAAGAATTGCCCTTTAAATATTAAAGTAGCCTGATTATAAACTGAAAGAGGCAGAAATAAAATTAGATAGGGGAAACATTAGAGCATAAATTTTTATAGAATGAATAAAAATAATAGAAAGATTAGAAGTTTGCAGATGTCAAGCCTTTTTATTTAATGTATGTTTAAATAATATAAGGAGGATTACATAAATTTGATCAACGTTACAGAGATTATTAACAATGTTAGCATGAATTGGATCAATATGAATGATACTTAGTCAAATTTGTTCATATATAAGAGAAATGAGGAGTTAGGCATTTTCTGTTAAGTGAATCGCACCGCATTTCATGAACATTATTGTCACAGCGGTTAAGAATCTATCAATCATCCCAGTCATGGTTGTCCCAAAGGTGCTTTTCCCAAAAGGCAACTGGATTTTCTTCTTTTTGTTTTGTTTTTTTTTCTTTAAAACATTTTGACTTTAAAGTTGGCAACTTTAAGACCGGTAGACTTCAACGCCCAGAATTCCCCAGCCATCAAGCCTAGGTGGAAACTGCTGGTTCAGAAGAAAGCTTTTCGACAAAGACTGACCAGGCCTAAAAATTCAAAACAAACTGGGTTTGAAAAAGCCAGGAATCCAAGTTGCTGAAATCGGTCAAATTGGTTAAGGAAAAGTTTGTGCAAATCTTCTTTTCAGTGGAGCTGGTGACAGGGAGCCAAGCTCTTCGTGACAAATTACGCTTAAATTGGATGAACCTGGGTTTCTTGTTGGTGGTTTGTTTTTTTTTGTTTTGTTTACCAAGAAGAGTTGGACCATACGATCATTTCTCACTTAGGAACCCTCAACCTTACTTAGCTCCTCTAATCTCCTGCCAGGTTAAGCGATGTGCTGCCTTGGTGCTCAGTTATAATCCTGCAGCTCACTAGTAACACATATGGTATGTGAAGCTTCTGGGTTTAATCTCAGGTCCAGATGGAACTGCCAGCTTGTTCCTCTGTTCATAAGCTCAAATTTGAAGCGAGGCTCCAACTTCAGAAATTAAATGGTCGTGTTCTGATCCAGTTCCCCAAACACGACAATTTAAATCGAAGATTCCTTTATTAAGAGCGCCAGCGACTCCGGCAAAAAGTTTCTCTCTCACCGCAGGCTAACAAATCTGTCTGGCAGGGAGTTATGAATAGTTGTCTCCCATACCTATTCATCTCCGCCCCCTGCCTTTTATCCCAAAAACTAGGATAGGGCTTCGCTAGCAGCGGTGGCTCTTCCATCCCAAGGTCCGGCCCATAGATTTCCACTGCTCTCCTCTCCTCTGCCTTCTGGGCATCCATGCGTCAGGCACTGGGCCCAGCTGTTCCTCCTCTTCCTCATAAGCCACGTCCAGACCTGGGGGCTACTGATTCTCCATCTGAGGGCTGATGGACAGCCCGGCTCTGCCTCTGTCTTTCTGTGTGCCAGCTCCATTCCCTCTTCTTCCTCCTTGGAGCTCTCAGGTTGCCTTGAGGCTAGACCTGATTCCCACACCGCCTCTTCCTCCTCTGATTCAGCTACAGGAGAGGAGAGGAGAGGAGAGGAGAGGAGAGAAGAGAAGAGAAGAGAAGAGAAGAGAAGAGAAGAGAAGAGAAGAGAAGAGAAGAGACGAGACCTTGGAGGTCTTCTAGTCCAACCCCTGCTCAGCCAGGAAGCCCTATACCATTTCAGACAAATGGCTCTTCTTAAAAACTTCCAGTGTTGGAATATTCACAACTTCTGGAGGCAAGTTGTTCCATTAATTAATTGCTCTCACTGTCAGAAAATTTCTCCTTAGTTCTAGGTTGCTTCTGCCCTGGATTAGTTTTCATCCGTTGCTTCTTGTCCTGCCTTCAAGGTGCTTTGGAGAATAGCTTGACTCCCTCTTCTTTGGGGCAGCCCCTGAGATCTTGGAAGACTGCTCTCACGTCCCTCCTTGTCCTTCTTTTCTCTCGACTTCCTGCAACCGTTCTTCTTATTATGTTTTCACCTCCAGGCTTTTAGTCATCTCCGTTGCTCTTCTCTGCACGTTTTCCAAAGTCTCAACCTCTTTTTTTTTTTTTTTTTGGTAACGTGGGGACCAAAACTGGAGGCCGTGTTCCAGATCAGGCCTTCCTCAGGCTTTATAAAGCGGTACTAATAATACTTCACATGATTCTATGCCTCTGTTTATAACAACCAAGGATCGACCTCCGTGTATGCTCCCCTTCCCTCTGCCTCCCCTCCCTTCCCCAAGATGACGTGCCTTCTATGTGTCGTCCCCACACACACACACACACACATTCAGCTCATCAGAACAGCTCAGATCATGCTGGGCACGCCAGAGATGATCAATCCCAGCCAACGTCAGGACCAAAAGCCGTGCTCCCTCACCGGTCGCTAGGCGACCGTATATCATCGTCTTCCAGGCAGCTGCTGTTGCCATGGTAACCCCATGGTGGTTCCTGGTTTTTGCAGGGGTTTTTTTTTGTGTGTGGGGGGTTTCCGCTGTACCGTTACGGTGAGCCTGGGGATAATGAGGGAGACACGGACGATGACGTTCAGGATGACTGGGAGTTTTGCGAAGGCCTCCGCCCTTCCTTTCCTTTGCATCACGGGCATCCTTCGTGCTAGTAACATGCAGCTGGACACAGTGGCAGAACATTGACTCCCCGAACACCGGTAGTCCTCGAGTTATGGCCATGCTTGAGCACAACATTCCCATTGCTGAGTGAGACCTTTTTTTTAAGTGGGTTTGGTCCGCATTTTCTGCCCCGGTTTTGAAGGGAATCGCTGCCGTCGATCAGTTAGTAACATGGTTGTTCGGTTAATCTGCCTCTTCCCCGATGTCGGAAGGTCACAAAAAGGGATCGTGTGATCTCAGGACACTGCAAGCCATCATAAATAAGAGCCAGTTGTTGCGCTGATTCACTGTTCTCGCTGTCAGGCAATTCCTCCTTAGTTCCTAAATGAATGACCTAAAATGGACCCCTAACATCAAAAACATCATCAAAAAAGCACAACAAAGAAGGTTCTTTCTGCGCCAACTCAGGAAGCTCAAACTGCTCAAAAGAAGCTGCTGATCCAGTTCTACAGAGGAATGACTGAGTCCGTCATCTGCATCTCTAGAACTGTCTGGCTTGGTTCTGCAACCCAACAGGACAGGCACAGACTCCAGAGTCTGCACTGCTATTGCTATTAATCTTCTCATCGTTCCTTATCACCCATCCCCTCCCACTTGTGACGGTATGACTGTGACTTTGTCGCTTGCATCCTTACAATTTATATTGACTGTTTCCTAGTATGATTTGATTGCTTATTGCACCCTATGACTGTTATTAAGTGGTGTACCTGATGGTTCTTGACAAATGTATCTTTTCTTTTATGTATACTGAGAGTATTTGTACCAAGACAAATTCCTTGTGTGTCCAATCACCCTTGGCCAATAAAAGAATTCTATTCTATTCTATTCTATTCTATTCTATTCTATTCTATTCTATTCTATTCTATTCTATTCTATTCTATTCTATATTTCTATTCTACACTATACTATTCTATTCTAATTTTTATTGTACCCTATGACTATTATTAAGTGTAGTACCTCATGATTCTTGACGAAGGTATCTTTTCTTTTATGTATACTGAGAGCATCTGCACCAAGACAAATTCGTTGCGTGTCCAATCACACTTGGCCAATAAAGAATTCTATCGTCTATCTTCCAGGTTGCTTCTCTCCTAGATTAGTTTCCATCCTTTGCTTCTTGTCCTGCCTTCTGGTGCTTTGGAGAATGAGTTGATCGCCCTCTTCTTTGTGGCAGCCCTTCAAATATTGGAACATTGCTATCATGTCACCCCTAGCCTGTTCAGAGTATCACAGCGTAAATTCAGTGCCAGGAAAGTCTGGCCGAGGCTTCATTTTAACTTCTTTATAAACACATAAAGTAAATTTTACAATACCAGTTGTAGATTTCTCCAGCGTGGAGCGAACTCAGACAGAAGCAGACATGTTACAGGTGCAGAGCACAGCTGCAACACAGGAGCTCAGGAACAGGCAACAGTTTCACTTTAGTTCAGCAGGCAAGCAAGACACACAACAGAGGAGAGAAGCCGTTTCATTTTCAATAGACAGACTCAGAGCTCAACATAGCATCAGAGCTGCAGAGCTTAATATAGAGCCACACCTAGGCTACTTCTAGTTTCAGTTTCCAAACAGTCCTCATTGGCTGACTTAGTTGCTATGCTTATTCACTGGCTTACCTCGTTACCAAGCTCTATTCCAGTTCATGAATAGACTCTGACCATAGTCCTTCTTTTCGTTCAACTAGATGTCCTCAATTCCACCAACTGTTCTTCGTATGTTTTAGGATAGTTGGAGATCTTGAAGGTTTTCTAGTCTAACCCGTTGACTAAGACAGGAAGACCTTTTTCCATTCCAGACCAGTGGCTGTCCAATTTCTTCCTAAAAACCTCCAGTGTTCGGAGGTGCCACAACTTCTGAACCCACAACTTCTGAAGGCAGGCCCTTCCACTGAATAATTGTTCTCGCTGTCGGGAAATCTCGCTTGAATTCTAAACTGGATCTCCTTTGATAAGCTTCCCTTGGTTACTTCTTGTCTGAGCAGACACGCTGATGCGTCTTCAAGCAGAACATGATGACTGCAGCAGCTCCTTCATCAGGACTGACAGCTGTCTGTTGTGGCCCGCCGGCTGCCAGCAGAGCTAGCAGCAGACACGGACAGTGAGGAGGTTGGGGAGGAACTTGGGCCAGTCCTGGAGTCTGGAGAAGGCTCTGATGGAGGCTCTGCATCAGAAGCAGAGATAGGGCCAGGGCTGCCTGACATTTCCCAGCTGCCTACGGAGTCGGAGATAAGTGGGGAAGAAGAACAGCTGGAGCCTGTTCCAGATGTGCATATGCACAGAGCTGTCAGGAGAGGAGAATAACTAAGGAGCAGGGGGCAACCTGAAAGGAAAGGCACACGTGGACGCTGAGTGGCTCCTCCCTGGGGAATAAATAGAAGCAAAAGTGGTGGTTGCAGGAGACAATGAGTTCATATTTCTTTTGGAAGATTTGTGTGAGTTCGTGCCTCACAGAGACCCCTTGCCAAGTATTTTATTTACAGCTTTGCGACTGGAAGCTCTCGGCCTGGCAACTATCCAAGGACTGATAAGATCTGTTCTTGCAGCTAACCCTGGGGAGGATTATTGCCAGGACTTTGCTGTGTGTGAATGCCGTGAATTCACAGTAATTCAATAAATAGGGGTTTTTTTCAGGACAAGGAGTCTGTTTCTAGCTCCTGCTAAACCTGGTTTGCAGCCTTTCGCATCCTAGTAGAAGGCCATGTTCCATCAACATGATAAACCGGCTGAGACATGCCTTTTGAAGTCCCTGGAGGAGACTGAAGATAAGTTCATTCAATCTCCATCTCATTTTCTTTTCTCTCTTTTGGGAAGTCCTTGGTCCTCAACGGCCTGGTAAACAGGAAAGTGTGCAGGAGTCAAAACCCACACATTTTGACAGCTCAGTGTTATTAAGGATTAATTCTTGATTAATTGGTGGTGAGATATAAAGTTTTACCTTTAAGTGAGAAAACTCAAGTGCACAACTGCAGAATAGGTGGTACTTGGCTCAACAATATTGAATATGAGCCAGCAGTCAGTCTGTCGTTCATTCGTTCCTTCCTTCCTTCCTAAACTCCAGACCTTCCTTCCTTCTCTTTTCCCTTTCCCATCTTCTTCCTTCCTTCCTTCCTAAACTCCAGCCCTTCCTTTTCTTTTTCCCTTTCCTACATTACTTTCTTCTTTCTTTCCTTCCTCCCTAAACTCCAGACCTTCCTTCCCTCTCTTTTTCCCTTTCCCCTTTCTTCCTTCCTTCCTTTTTTCTTTTCTTTTCTCTCCTCTCTTTTCTTTTCTTTTCCTTCTCATTTTCCTAGGCCATACTCCCTAGATTTCCTGTTGATTTCTCATCCAAATATTAACCACATCCAACCCAATGTAGGTTTTCAAGATATCCCGAAGTTTATTAGTGCTATTAGCAAACTAAAAACATGCCTCCCTTAAACGTGAATTAATGTTACGGTGTCTTCTTATATTGCAGGCGTCGGAAGTGGAAAGAAAGCTTTCCACACAGGTTCATGTCCTCCAAGAGGACTTCAGGGAGAAGAGGTCATCCACCAACCAGCACATAGTTTGTCTTGAGAGCCTTCAATCAGAGGTGAGTCTCATCCAGGATTGGGCAATCTCGGAAAATCCTACTCTACCATCAATTCAGTTTAGTTTATTACTGAGATCAGAAACCAGAACAAATAAAAACACTCCGTCAATATGCCATTTAAATTTCTAGTATAAAATCATAAATCACAGTTAAAAAACCTATGATAGTCAACCTCTCAATGGAAGGGAACTTCATCTCCCAGGATTCCAAGCCAGTCCCCAAAAGTTTGGAGATCTCCAGGTTGGAGAAGCTTTGTCTGAAGGTGGCTTTGGAAAAGGGTCTAGGACAACTTGCCACGGCCAACTCACCCAAGGGTAGGATTCAAAAGTCCCAGCAACTGGTTCGTTGCTCGGTTACTGGGTGGACATGGCCATGGAAACTTCCTGTTTCCGGCTTCTGGTGGGCCTCCAGAGCCCAGGAGAGGCTGTTTTCGCTCTCCCAAGAGTCCAGAGGCTTCCCTTGGGCCTCTGGGAGGGCGAAAACAGCCTCCCCTGGCCTCTGGAGGCCCCCCGGAAGCTGGAAACAAGCCCATTTTCCCCCTCCCAGAGCCTTCATGCAGATCCTGCCCTTATCTCCATCAAAAATGGGCCATGTGGAGACTCCTGGGAGGAGAGGAGAAGGGCAGGGTGGATGGGGCCAGCCAGTCGGTTGAAGTACCAGTTCGGCAAACCAGTTGTAACTTTAACATCCGGTTTGCCTGAACTGGTCCAAACCGGTAGAATCCCTCCCCTGAACTTACTGTGGTCATCTCTCCAGGGCAACCTTGCTGTGGCTAACCCTCCGCGGCCATCTCACTGTGGCCACCTCACCATAGTAGTTGGTGTTTCGGAATTATGGCCACGAATATTTCAACGTGATAGATCATCATCTGCCACGGTTTCTTTGACATGATTTCTTTTGACCTGAAATTGAACCTCCAAGGTCCCTTCCAAGTCTTATTCTGATCAATTGATGTCATGTGGTTAAATAGGAATTTTGATCACTCTTTTCATCCACTCTTTCTGCTCCAAGCACTCCCAAAAAAGTTTGGAATGAAAAGCATGCATTGAAATTCTCAAAGTCATCGTGGATATAGATGTTGGAACAAACAAAACCATGGTTGCTTAAAAACCAGAGAATTTGGCCTAGAACCTGGAAAAGTTTTTCAGAGTGCCTACATCATATTTGAGTTGTCCATCAGAGGTATTTCCAGATCACCTTAAGAGAACATAGTTGAGATGTTTCCCTTCCTTAATCTTACCAGTTACTTGTTCCTGACCCCACAGTTCGTTAACCCTAATTGTCCCATTTTAACCTTCCTAACTCCTTCCCCTTCCTCCCTCTTATCGGAGCAGCAAATCTTGGAAGTAAGTATGAATATTTTCACCAAGGTTTGAACTGCATGTCATCAGATCCGACTTTTGCATGTCATTTTCATTCTCATCTATGGCTTTCTGGTTTCTTGGCTTCTTCATGGCCTTTGTGTCTCACTGGTCTGCACACAGGGTGCCGGTAGAGTCGTTCACGTGTAACATACCCGAAATAAACCCGCTGTCTCTTTCTTCGGAAGCACACACCATCTTTAAAAGCTCCGTTATTGTGTTCGCTCGCGAAACCTCGGCCAGTGAAGCATGTCCGGCCAAACCGTCCATCTCATTCGCCATCTTCCGTGGTCAGTGGGATACTCTGAGGAATTTCCCATCAAGCTCTGTTCATGAGAATACTTTGGCAGTTTTCCAAGTTTCCAGAGTTTTGGAATTTTAGGATGGAGAAACGCATCCGAGTGGAATAGCTGGGGAGAATCTGGGAGTCCTCTTAGGAATTTCTACGAGCAGTCCTTGAGTTATGACCGTAAGGCAGCCTGCCTGTGATGGTCATAATGGTCAGTGACCAAGATTTTCTTGCAGCCGCCGTTAAGTGAATTTGGAGCTCATCAGTACGAATGTCACCTCTATCAAACAAACACTTCCTTAAGGAAACCCGTTGTTCGCTATGGCAGAGTTTTGCCGAAAGCCAGAAGAAAGTGCTGGTTTGGGGCAAAAACTGTCGTAAAATGCAATCACATCATTGTGAGCCTATCTGTCAGAATGTCATATCCAGGTTATAAGTCTTTTTTTTTTCAGGTAGGTCATAACTTGGAACAGTCACAAGTTGAGGACTAGCTGCGATTATTAAAATGATCCAAGTTGTGGCAGGATTCCACTCTGAGATAAGTGCAACCGCCCTGTCAAATTGGTTTTCGGGATTCCAATTGGCAAGTGGATTTGAAAGGTCAGCTCCAATCCATGGTCTCCAGATCGATGCCGGCGCATTGGCCGTTCTCTCTCTGGATCGAAGGAAACACTTCCTTTTCTTTAATTGAATCAGACTGGAGTCAATCGATTCGGAAGCCACAAAACGAATCACGCTGCCAGTTTTTTGCAAAACAGATTTTTCTCTCATTCACCCACCCAAGAGAGTCACTAATTCCCCCGGGGAGGGATTCTGTGTAATAGGTATTGAGAGAGGTGTCTCACTTAATCAAGCCTCATGAAGGTATCACGTGGGAAATCTTTCTTAAATTCCCAAAGGTGCTACAAGAGAAATGCAATATGGAAGAGAGCGGGTCTGTCTCTGAAGCGGAGGATCTTTAAAAAGTCCACACTAAAATTGGCCCGCGTTTTCGTGCCCATCTCTCCAGTAAAAAAAAAAAAAAAAAAATCTGCATTTTTTTTGTGCGTCTTTTTAAATCATGGGCAAACAACCAGTCCTCTTCTTCCGATGAATAGAATTCAAATTCTTAACGCCATGCCAGGTTCTTGAGTAAATCCCACCTCACTGTTTTTACAAGTCTTTATTTACAAGCTTTTCTTTTCTTGAATATTTTTTTTTTGTCTTCCTCTCTTTTGGCTTGGGAGACTTTTGACTCCTTATCTCATTCCTGACCCGGGAACAAAGATATACCTAAAGAGAGGAGGAAAAAAAATACTCAAGGAGTTACTCACGCCTGCTAAAAGCAGAATTCATGAAAACAGGAGAAGGGAAGCCGTCACAAATCACAGCTAGACGTTAGGAAAACAGGAGGTCTGGAGTAAGTTTGGGCTGCCCACTTTCTCCAACTCCTGGGACATTCTTCCCGGTTGCGTTTCTTCCTGGAAACGGTGGTTTGTTATCTCAGCAGAGAGAAAAGGGGGAAATTCTGCTTGCTGGCTGGGCAAAATGTTATATATTGCGATAGCGGGTTATGCAACCTCAGTGTTGGAACTGCTGTAATCTAACAAATACGCACATGGGTGTGTGAGCACACCTAGGCAGACAGACGCCTTCTGAGGGGGGGGGGGAATAGGGGGTAGGGGGCATCTGGGCAGCCAAGGGGGCGGCTCCAGAGGTAGATTAAATGAGAAAGAGGCCGTGGCTTTGGTGGCATGGTTCCACCAGCTGCCATCTTGAATTATTTGACCTCTGGTGCATTCCTCTGTGCCTACACTCCCTCGTGCACGCATTCGTGTATGCGTGTTTCTATATGTGAATACACGCATCCATGTACGTATATGCACACACACACACACGCCCATGTGCATTTACGTACATGTGTTCACATGTATGTATATGCACGTATGCACATTCGAACATGCGCTTACACTTGTTCATGATATATCTACATACACATACATATATATATACATTCATATATATCTCTATATCTCTGTCTATCTATCCCTACATCTCTACATTATATCTTATCTAACACTACATTCAATCTATCTATCTCTTATATTTTATCTTATATCTGTCTATCTCTACATTCTATCTCTATCTCTTAAAATATAAGATAGATAGAATGTAGAGATAGACAGACAGATATAGGATAAAATATATCTGTCTATCTCTACATTCTATCTATCTATCTATCTATCTATCTATCTATCTATCTATCTAT